TACCTGCGGAGTCAATAAACCTATCTAAGTACCTATGCTAGGTATATGTTTTTATCCTAGTCACTAGTTGGCTTTCAATTCCCCAAGGAAACAAGCGAGCAAAATTAATGCTTTCACTTCACTGACCTAGAAACCATTAAAACACTTTCATTTTCATCAATAACTGAACCCTTTCCAATACAAATAAACCATTTCATTGAATGTTCAGAATTTCAACAATTTTCTGCGAACCAATTAACAGTTTGCTAACACTTTGTTTTTAGAGGCAACGTTCGATCTCTATGGATGGGCGTGCTATGGGCCCTGACGTCAGGCACAGGAGTAGCTCTCGCCTTACTTCAGGGCAGTGCTGGGCCACTTATTGGTATTGCTATTTCAGCATCTTTGTTACCACCTGTAGTTAATTGTGTAAGTATACCTCCTTATTAATTATCTACCTAGGTAATTCATTAAAAGTAGGTACCCTTAACCGCTGAGCATGCGCATGAAAAGATAGAAGACTGTTCATGAAGCGAAAGAGGTACGAAGGAATCGTAGTAATTGGAGTTCCATAGTCTCTGCCTACTCCCGTGGGAGACAGGCGTGAAGTTATGTATGTATGTTATTAACGGGTGTAACACTGGGGTTGATGAACCAGATAAAATGTAGCACCTAACTACGTTATTTTAAGAATTCGATAAGTACCTACTTTATTCTCTATTATCCTGTAAGAGGGTGATACTTACTCGGTTGAGCTGGCCCATACTACAATTTGAGTACCAACAGCAGATACAGTCAATCACTACTACTACTTACCTATATTTAAAAGACAGATCTGGCTGGGCGTAACCATTTCAAATATTTTCTTTTATTTCCAGGGTTTATACTGGGCTCTAGCGTGTATATGGCTGCTGTACCCAGGGGTGAAAGTCCCTCACATAAAGGGCGAAGCTTACACTGGCAACTCATCGTATACTCCGCTGTACCACGATTACCTTCCGATTGAATTTGCTGTGAATGGTATGAAAATATGAATAGTGTACCTACCTACATAGGTACTACTAAACATTTTGCAGACAGCGACATCTTACAAACATGCAGAATAAGTCTTATGAAAGTTAGAAAATCAAGCCGAACTGAAAGTTACTTAGATAGCTGAACTTAAGATAAGATATTAACCTATAAGTACCTTCTTCATTTCTTCATTAGGAATTCATGATTGCTTGTTAACCAATCCTATTACCTATATACCTAATTAACTCGTCGAGTACCGGTTTTGCAGACACAATTATAGAACAATAGGTTGCGGTCACCGGTGACCGCTTGGTGTTTGACAGTTTAAGATCGAGTTGAAAAAAGAAGTGGTTGGTTGCATTCTTATAGACATTGACTTGCCTAAAGCTAAAAAGGAACTTTTGCTTACTGCCCATAGTAATTCATCTTATTTTCTATCTAGGCATCGTAAGCTGCTGTCTAACTATAGTGAACGTTATCTGCATATTCATAACGGCTATAATATTCCTGAAGATTAAGGAAGTCGCCGCACCGTACACTTCGAGTCCAGACCTCCGGCGATTTTGGGAGCAGGACATCAAAGTCGCAAGAGACGCTAACAGGGCGAACTTGCATAAGGCGGAAGATGATGAACGAGCTGAGTAAGTAATAACATCTTTAAATAACATATACTTAGGTATGTACATACCTATGCAATGAAATAACTGACGCTGAAAGGCCGATAACACATTTGCATCTCCACTGGCGCTGCTCCATGGACGTTTCTCATAAAAAGAAATTATCCAAAATGTACGTTAACCAGCTCCACTTTAAACAACTTTATATCTAAATTACCTTATACCTACTGAAACGATCTACGATAGTTTGAATGCATAGATAATGTCTAATCAAATGCTATAGCGCCAAGATTTTGTAATCTTATGATGTAGGTAAGTATCGTAAATAAATAACGTAAGTATTTTAGCGTATATAAACGCAGCATACGAGAATTACATTGTTACCTCTCTATCTTTTGGAGATTGCAAGCTATCACCTTGGATATTTTATTATTCCTTAAACCTTAGTTACCTACTTGCATAAAAGGCCTTTACATAAATGACATTAATTGCCGCAGATTGGTGCTGGAAGATCTCAATCAAGAAACTGATGAAGCAATTAGAGAAAAGCTGGAGGCCGCTGTCGAAGAGGCTCTGGACGACGAAACTTATAGAAAAGTGAAACGAATGAGTTATCAGAGCCATAATGCTGACGAGGTAGGTATCTAAACCAATCGCTTTTCCAAACATTTTGCGTAAAATGCACAGCTGATGTTATCAAAACCGCGCGTGATACGTAACCTTCGGAGATCGTTTCGAGATAAATTTTAACAACATGACGTTATCGGGGTTGTACCTACACTTGTACTCATTATGTAAAGATAATAATAAATATAAATAGTAGCTACGTAACTAGCAAAAATACCAGTTTTAGCCAGATATATGAACCCGTTTCATAAAGATTTCAAGGACTCAATCAAATTAGTTCATATCTCTGACTCGTGACCTTTTAATATATTTACAACCATTTAAATTGTCTAAAAAATATTTCAACAACGCAGGTCACGAATTTACAATCACAAATAACACCTACGTACGTATGGTATGTATGTAGGTACGTAGGTTCAAATTATCCTAACGGGAAAACCGTTATTCTAATTTTGTGTTAACATTTTAGGTTTTCCGCACTATTGGACTGTCAAGAACTCCTATATCCTTGTTATCGAGCCAGCTGAACTCTGGAGTCAGCACTCCTACTGGCCCCAAACCTTCGAATGTGGATGACATAGCGGCACTAGACAAATTACTGACGTCATTGCTTGGCTTGAAGGAGAGTAAACGTGGCAGATCTTTTATTTCTCATCGTGGGACTCCGCGATCCAGTCGGATTCCAAGAACTGTGCAGGAAGGGATTGGACACGGCTACAGTAGGCAAACGGAATCGTGGCCCGAAAGGATTTATGAAGATTCTGTGGTTCGCAGCGTGATTAGCAGTCTACGAGCCAGTAAAAGAAGCTCGCAAATGGAAGAAGCGTTTATGACGCCTAAGTAGAATAGTTGATGCAATTTATTGATGTCCATTGAAGACTTATAATTCGTTTTAATTAAAAATCGTGGAAATTATGATAACTTTCCTATTGGGAATAGGTTTTATAGGTACCTGCGAGTATGCTTTTCTATATTGCACTCGAAATTAACCATAAGTAGGTCAAGTAAAGCCAAAAACAGGAGACTTCCATTGTGGGAAAAGTCGAGTGGATACTTGGTGGTAGGCGTGTGGTAGGAGTTTCAACTACTGGCTATTTGGAAGAGAATATTTTAAACCCCAAAAATCTTTTTTATGTCAAATATTTATTTCGTATTTAATAAGTTACTGTATAACAAAAATATATTTAACATACTCAATTGATTTATTAATTACATTATAAGTACCTATTATGTAGGTAACGTTTTATCACAGCAAAGCTTATGTCTCGAGATGTTTACAAAAACTGAGAGGACTACAAAATGTAGTAATTATAACAAATTGACAATAAGTGCCATTTTAAAACTAATATTTAAAAATTCTTACTACCTACTTATTATGATTGATACTTCAGCTAGTGGACACCCTTCGTCAAGATGAGTGGTGTTTTATCTTGTCTTCTAGTAAAGCTTTCGCAGGCTTCGTATGTTTGACTTGTGATGTGTACACGTCATATCCTAATGATATCGTGTTGTCGTACAGCACCCTGTACTTGGTTGGTAGGAAGTAGAAGTTGATGATTTGCGCAGGCGGCCACACCATCCACTCTGCGCGGTACAACTTCACAAACTTGTCTTTCACTTCCTCCTTGAAATTCTCATACGGATTCTCTTCAAGCAAGGCTAGGCTTCCAAACAGTGTGATTATCATAACGGGGGAGAATATAAACTGATCTAGCACCAACTTCTTTATTACCATGTCCACAGTCTTTCCCACTATAAACTTATCTAATACTTTGTACCAGTGGTGGCATAGGATCCCCAATGCTACTCCTGAGAATGCCATGTGTGCGCATCTCTTGAAGTCATAATGAGTCTGTTCCTTAATGTATATCTCGTAACTCTGTTCCAGCAGATCGCCTACCGACGAGAGGCTCAGTGATATGGTCACATTTGTATAAAATAAATATTTGTCACTAAATGCTACTTTCGTTAAACTTTTAATTTTTGGAATTCCTGTTGTTCTTCGTACATTGGCTGCTATGCTTCTCCATGTGGAGAGTAGTATTTTCATTATCTGCAAATAAAAACATTGTGTTACGAATTGTTAAAAGGAAGATTTTATTGTTTTAATTACATAACGCTAACTTAACAGAACGCGTCATGTCATATGGTCGTCAACCAAGCGTCACCACACATTACAACCTTGATTTTTTTAATGTCAAATATAAAACGAGTTTTTATAGGTTTAGAGCTGGCGAGCCATTTTGTATAACGAAATTAAAACGAAATAACCAATAAATAACATTTCTATATTCTCTATCCTATACTTATTGTTATCTATTATAACAATTGCTTGGTAGAGTTGGCTTGGTCAGGAATACTGAATGAAAAATATGAAAAAAATACGCACGATGCTCTATACTCTATCGAAATAGTCATTATTTCAGTAACACAGCTTTATCTACTGATATTTTTTAGGAATTTTGAGTCGAATGCTTCAGTGCTATAGCACATAATACTGTACTGCCAACATAATACTGGCTGGCATTGGTTTGATATGAAGAACTGAGATAATGAGAGACCTCACATCAGACACCTGTTTTTATTTATATCTTTTGCTGTGGAATATCATGCATCATAATTATCATCTTTCTATCCACTGGACTAACAAATAACTAAAATTGCATTTTTTACATTTAATGAAACAGAATACAATATTAAAAAAGAATATTTATTATTAAATCAATAGTAGAAAAACAATATAACGTAAAAAAAAAACACTTTTCATCCTTAATTCGATACTTAATTCCCATTAGTTTTTTCGGTTCCTACATTATTATCTTTTTGTACACTTTCTTTCTCAATAACTTTAGACCTTGAATGCTTAACATGAGAAGTATAGATATCATAGCCAAAAGATATTGTGTTGTCATATGCTACTCTATACCTTGTTGGTAAAAAATAAAAGTTTATAATCTGTGCTGGTGGCCACACAACCCACTCAGCTTTGTACAGAGTCCAGAATTTATTGGAGACTTCAACTGTAAAGTTATCTAAAGGATCATCTTCAAACAATGCCACAGTCGCAAAGAATGATAATATTACTATAGGGGAACAGATGCACTGATCCATTATCAATTTTTTGATCACCATATAGATGGTTCTACCAATTATAAATCTATCTAAGATAAGGTACCAATGATGACAAATAACACCCGCAGTGAACCCTGAAAATGCCATTTGTGCCGTTCGTTGGAAATCAAAGTGTACAAGTTGCTCTCTAATGATTTCGTAAGACTGCTGTAACAAATCTCCACAACTTGATGATCCCATGGATATCATGATATTTGTGTATAACAGATTCTTGGCACTAAATGCATTGTCTACAGCGATTTTATATGATTTGTAAGCTTTGGAAAACACTCTTCTCATTACCATTGCAAGGGAATAATCTAGAACAAATTGAGTAATAATTGTTCTACTAAGTAATTATATTTTTTCTGTATTAAATGGAAAAATGGCAAATTAGAGCCCAATTTATCTGGAACATGTGTGGTGACCCATTTTTACCCAACTGATTATAGAATCATGAAGTTGTAGACAAAGCATGCATCTCAGGTTACAAACAGAATTGTTATGAAAAGAACAAAACTTATAATTTAAACTTGTTTCAATATGATTAAAACACTGTAATTAGATGTTCAAAACTTCAGCATAATTAAAAATAAGTTAGTCTGAGTAGGAGTAACTGTTTACTACTGGAGTAAAATTGGCTTCTAAAAGTCAAAAACGTTTGTGATGGGTACATCACAAACTTTGCAAAAACATGTTAATTATGTTAATGTAATTCAAAATTAAATGATACATTAATTTTATTAACTCACTTTTTATCAAACTATAATTAGTAACAAGATATTAGGTACGTATCGATGCAGTTTATTTTCGGCGTAGGTACTCTAAATATAAAAGCCAATTTTGGTACATGTTGAAATAAATTAACCAATAATTGTTATATTTCAACAATTCTGATTATCACATAAATAAAACCATTTATTAACAGCCTTTTTCTGTACTCAGTATCTTATCATTAATGAAAATATAATAAGATATGTGTAATAACATAAAAAATACTTACATTAAATTAATGATGTAAAATAAAGAAAATATGAAATTTATATCTTGTCCATAGCAGTTTTCAAAAATTAAACAATATATTTTTTCCCATTTGTTATATTATATAACGCTGTTCAAATAAAATCACTCGATTTTCCAGGAAAATTCTAACCTCAATAAATTCAAACATTGCCCAATAAACCATGCTGTCAAGAGACTACTGTCATTAGTGTCAAAGTCGACCTGTGTTGCCATGCTACTGTTGATAGAGATGCACCATGGATGCACTATGCATGCTTATGCATGCACCCATTGCGCTTGTGTGTACACTGTTGTAGGTGGCAGCAATATCGGCCCGTTAACTTTATTTGGAGGCTATTGTCTCAAATAGTTTTGTTTTATTCTGCTGGATACTATTTATGCACGTACTCTCAATACATTTATGAAAATTTAGTATATGCTCATAAAAACAAAAGTTTATTTAAAAAACATAGTGATATACATAATATAAACACGAGAAATAAAGACAAATATGTTGTTCCCACTACTAGACTAAAGAAAATAAGTGGTTCGTTTAGATGTCAGAGTATACGCTTTTACAATA